CTATCACAACGTGTTCTAGAATATTATCCCAGTAGAGTAAGAAAACTCAATTTCATTTTAATGTCTTTAAATCTCTTCATGAACTTGAACAGTTAAAGTTACAATCGTATCTACTACGTCATTATTCTTATCCAGAAGTACGTGTTAATATCAAAATTTCATTCAATATTTCCATTTTACTAAGGATAGCATTATTCGTATTACGACAATTATTTGTAAGACACACTTCGTATTACATATAGTGTAAATTCATCCTCTTTGGTAGCACAAAAGAGCAGAAGCAACCAAGGAGATTGAGTTGACCTTGAAAACTGAGGAGCCTAGCACGAAAATTTGCGAATTAGTCATTAGTAAAATTTTTTATACTTGTCGATGTGCTGTCGATTGTCGCAAATAATCATTCTGGGACCTGTCTTTGTGGAAAACATAGGTGAAAACAAGTGATGAATCGATATTATATGCTCCAAAAGAGGTTTAATATACCTTTTTAAAATATACGATGTTATAGTCTACATTGTTTTATCATAAAACGATGAATCACAGATGATACAGGTCACAAAAAATATATCTCATTTATGAAGTATATGACAAAACATTTGGAAAGTGAATGATGCTCGTTTGCGAATCGAAAGTGTAAATGGTAAGAGCGGGTCGACACAAACGGAGTGAAAACCATTGTTTGACAACGAACTTTCACCATACCCAACATATGACGTGGCTCTTTAGATATAGTAAGTATCACATATAAGAAGCGGATGCAAATAAATAAGGAATTGTGTTGGTTCTTTATTAAATTTTGATGTAATTTGGTTGTTCTTTAGACGCCCACATTGTTTTATCTAATCAACTTATATATGGGAATGTAAGTATGGATTTTTATTAGAAGATATCTCCAGAACGGCTGAACGGATCTCAATGAAATTTGGCATAGATATAGAACACAGTCTGGAAGCACACATTAACTACTAATTAAGATTTCTTTTATTTCTGCACGGGAGGAGTTCCGGGCGATAGCTAGTATATAAACAGTTTGTTCAAAATAACGTCAAATATTAAAAAATTACTAAAGTTTAGTTCTGTGTTAGTGTAATTTTTTTCTCATACGCCAAAGTCGTCATATAGTTTCAGAAATATAAAGATGTAACAAATATAAAGTACACTATAAATAAGGTTCTAGGGGTGTTTCGAAATTAATGGCAGAGTATAATGGTCGCGCGGGCGCATTTTGTCCGATAATTGACTCCAATGGAACACAATAGTGACATGATTGGATCTTGTTGATAATGTTTGTAACAAAAACTTATCGCTAGCGTTCCCATTACAATCTGGATGATACTGGTTAAACTACAGATCGGATTTATTACTAAAGTTTAACTTGTCACTTAAAGATATAATATCCTTCCTAAAAACTAATAATCTATACATACATATAAATATAATTGGAGTGTCTGTAATATTGAAACAACAATTTTTACTACATGTATATGAATATATAAACGATACATACACCAAAACAACATTTTTACAATTTTTGTCCGTCTGCCTGTTTGTTCCGGCTAATCTCTGATATGGCTGGACCGATTTTGATGATCCTTTTATTGGCAGGTAGCTAATGTATTAAGGAGTAACTTAGGCTAAGTTTATTTTAGACAAACTCTTTTATTTTAGAAAAATAAAGTAATGTTGCAATGACTAAGTACTGTCCAGTATCACGTGCAGCTCTGACAGTTATTCAAAAGTTTGTAAAAAATATAATCACCATCTTTGGAATTCAAAACGTTCGTTTAACTGGTTCATAGTGGCTGTCGATTAAAATTCCTTTAAAATATTTACTTTAGAAAAATGTATGTAGCCGGCATATTGCTAATTTTTAAAAGAAATTGCACCTGCCACTACTTATAGCTTCAAGAAAATATATTAACTCCTGAACTATTAGATTAGTTCAATAATTTAATTCACACTCAATCCGTAAATATTCTTTTGAAGAAAACACAAATGCACTGAAATTACATACTTTAATATACATAAAAAAATCTCATTTGTGTTCTCAAATATTAAAACGGAGAAATGTTTCACAATATTTGGATGGATACGTGTTCTAAAGCTAATTGATGTGTTAAACGACAATTATATTCATCGTTTTTCTTACGAAACTACTAACGTAACAAGAAATCTAATATTTTAATTTGAAATTACGCAACACATCGCATCACGTCTAGACATGTGACTAATGTTATGCAATACAAGGATCCGTTTAGACGCGATTAATTTAATCAATCTTACTTTCTATTTTAATATTACTTTCAATTGTTTTTAATTAATTACAACTAAGAGTTTTTTTTTTTTAATTTTATTTTATATCATAGATTTAAGACTTTATGTAATCATAGAAATAAGGATGTAAATTAATTAAACGTATCTATTAATTAAAAACCCCATCCATTAAGAGTATACTTTTCTTTTACAAATGTATTTTGACAAAAGACCGCATACAAATGTATGCGGTCTTTTGTGGTTACAACGACATATCACAGATAATATTCAAATATTCGCTATTTTTTTTTCGATTTAAAAATAATAAGTTTATCAGTCGTCAGTATTTTAACTGTTACCGCGTAACTCCGCTCCTGGTGTTCCAATTTTGATTTTTTAAGATTTAAAAACACAATTTTAAAATCCTATCATCCTTTGTAATACAGATATACATAAATGTCTACTGACCATATTATGTATATATTTTTTATATTATTATTATGAGGATGGAAACGTGCAAGCGACCACCTGAATTTCCGGAAATAACGAAGCGAACACTGACCATAGACATCAGAAAATGCAGATGCGTTACCTAACTTTGATCAACGGAGGAGTGGACGCATAGGATAGGGAAATATTGTCTTTCTGTGCGTCCCAAATCCACTTCCCCTTCCCATCCACCTTAGAAAAGTGTGGGGAGGGAACTTATATGCAACAATAGTTGAGGAAAACCAAACTGTAGACCATGGTACCACTAGGTAACAAGTTTTAGACTCCCGCATATAAAATGCTAAACATAACTATTATACAAAGAAAAATAATTAATTAATATATTGATTTAATTATCTTAAACCTTAATTCGACGAAATTTTTTGTAACATTAAACTGTTTTTTTTTGTATTATAAATTCCTACTTACGTAATTTTCTCTAAACTAGTTTTTTCTTAATTAGTTATTCTTCACACTGGACACCATTGAATTAAGGGTCAATAGCCTTATTTCCGTGAAATGCCAATAAAATAGTCTTGTCCGAGCCTTTGTTTAAGTATAGAACATTTGAGATGTCCACAACCATTCGCCTCCGGTCTCTGTTAGAGTTCTTTAGGGAACTTTGTTTCTCAATTTAAAGTTTTCTTTTAAAACTACCGAGTAGTTTAATAAGCTGGCAACGGGAGCATTTCTACAACGTTTATTTTATAAAAAATCTATTGTCCAGTCTGAAGAGAACTAATTATAGATTTTTTAACTGTACAAATTTGCATAATTAAACTATAATTTGAATTTATAAAAATTTATTGTATGCTAGCTGTCGCCCGCGACTCCTGCGCGGAATAAAAAACACTTATTTTGTATCCTATATGTTCTTCCGTGTTCTACAATTGTATTAAATTTCATAGAAAAAAACATTCAGTCGTCTAGAGATACTTTCAAACAAACATTCATCCATTTAAACATTCGCATTTGAAATATCATTAGTAAGATTTAAAACTCTTGATAACATTATAATTCAAAACTGTATTGTGAATAATGGAAGCATGGAATTTACATTTAAATGCCTCGTCTAGATTATTATGCATGATATACATTCATGGCGTTGTATTAATATCAAAAACAGACTTATGAACAATCTGTGTGTTGCAGGAGACAAATATAAGATATAATTGTCCTTGTCGTTTGTATAAAGGGCTCTTTGTAGTGCGGATTGACAATAAATTTAACAACGATTCGAATATAAACGATTTTGTCGTCTGTTGGTCGAACAATAGAATTAGTTATTTTAGCTTGTAAATTTTCTAAATAAACGAACAAAGTAACGACGTCCAAAAAACAAAATAATTTTTCACTGATTATATCTGTCGCTGCGCTTTCGTCAGCGCGTAATTAAAAATAAAACTTAACTATAAGCCTATGTGTTCTTCCAGAATATGTTCTACATCTATGTCAAATTTCCGCGACGTCCGTTCATCCGTTGTGGAAATCAGATCAGATCTTCTAACAAACATCCATCTATCCATCCTAACTTTCCGATTTATAATATTAGCAAGATATTGAAGTATGAAGATAAGTATAATCTATATCTGAGCTTTATATTATGTGGATATCCATAGTATATTGCGATATTTCACATGCACCGTACGATATGCACGCAAAACTGTTGTTGCGGACAAAGGCCTATATAATAGTGTTATTCTACGAGGGGATTTATCTGATGTTCCGGTCACATTGTCGAAATATATGGACAACCTGTGTCCGCACAACCGTTAAATATAACTTACGCGTATGCAGATTATACTACAGTCTGTGCTATTATATTGGATAAATAGTAAAAAAAAAGTTAGAATGTCATAAAATATATAAACTGTCGTATAGTAAACATATTTCAAATAACTCTGTAACGTTAATAGACTGATCAGAAACACTAATAAAATGTAAAAATTGCACTAAAAATGTCTTTAGTAATTAAGAATGTATTATATTTTCTAATGAAACGTAATATTTAACATAAAAATAATCATACATATTTCTTGTTTGATTCCAACTAAGGTCTAGGCTTGTGCTAGGATATGTTTCACGCCAATAGTGGTGGGGTTGGAACCTACGGTCACGATCGAAAACTATTCCTATTCGGTCATAAATATTCATACACAACCCTGCTATCAGTCAGGCAAAATGTGGAGACAGGAAAAGTCGATGACCAATTAGATTTCATGATTGCATATCTAATTTGTAATTTTTCATTGTTCCAGCTATGACCGCGACCAGCCGTTCACATTCCAACTTGGCGTGGGTCAGGTGATCAAGGGATGGGACCAGGGCTTAGTTGACATGTGTGTTGGTAAGTTTCCCTTTTTATTTTAACTTTACAATTTGTAAACTAACATTAAGACTGCATTATACACTTAAAATCTTTTACAAATCCATTCTCTATTTAATTGCTTTTGTTCAAATTGACTGGGGCGACCAGACATTTAACTCTTAGGTCCCTTTTAGATAAATGTATTGCGTTAAATATTAAACGCGTATAAAATTTATGAGGCCATTTGCCGAGCGTGTATTTACGAAATGCCTGTGTGGGTTTGCACAGAGCACTTCCTTGCTTCTAAAAAGATGGGATACCAATCAAAATCAAATCCATTTTCAATTAATGTAACTCTTATTCTAATAATTAGTTTATTTTTAATCGCTTCCTAACTAAAACGCATCCATTATTATTCGGATTTGGAATTTGAAACAATTGTAGTGAAAAATAATATTTGACAAGCGATCTACTCAAGTTACGCAAATGAAGGGTTAATTATAAGATTAAAGGTGCATTAGGTCGGCGAATTGCAAACTTTTTTAATAGCATTTTATAAGTCCAACAAAAAAATCGATTTCTGCGTTACGATAGTTTGTGTAGACATTCGAATCTCACGAATTTTTATTAAAATGAATGCTAAATGCTAAAAAAGAATTGTCACATCGGACCCAAGACATATTTCATTTTGACGAATGAATAATAAATAAAAAATCACTAGAAGAAATAAAAAGCTGTAATGAATACATTTTTACCATCTTTCGTAATGACTCGTAGTTTGATGTCTTCGTAAACTGTTGGGCTACAAAATAAAATCTATTTTTTAATATGTAAAATAGCTATTGTTCCAAACTGGTAGATCCCACAGCTTTAGGCATATTATACGGATACGCAACCATGGCATTATCGCGTTCCAATATCAATGAAACACTTCAATTACCGACCGCTCTCTTGTAATTTATGCCTAGTTTAAATAGTTGTGTTTTCATCGGCACAATTTGATTTGATAAAAAGAGATAATGACTTCTCATTAATGCTATTGCAGTAACAATTGTTTTGTAAAAAACATTTTCCTTTATAGATAGATGTTTGTAATTAATCGGTGCTTATGTTTAATGTACGATCATACTGCACCATCTATCGTCAGCGTTATGAACTAATTGCAAAATACGTTGGTATGAAAAAACTAAGGACAAATTTCAATTCTTTACTAAGATCATATACAACATATAAATAAATGCACATTTACATACTAATTTAGTAAATCATTTTTTTTATTTTTTTTTTACTAAACATTGACTATATTCCTTATAAAATCAAAAATAAGAATAAAGTCTATCATCATCAATATCCAGACCATTCTTTAAATAAGATAAAAGACAATATATCAGTATTAGTAGATTTATTTGTTCAATGTACATTGAACAAATAAATCTACTAATACTGATACACATCGCATCGCTATAAGAGGTCAATTTTTAATCTAAATTAACTTGACGACTTCTCTTTGCTGGCATCGAAGAAAGAAATTGTAAATTTTCGCTTTAAAAAGTATAAATAAATCAATTAAAAACACAGACTCTTTACTACTTACGACATTTTTATATAATTTCATAAATATGTAAGTGTTTTATTTCAAACAACCTATTAGTTAATCATATTACTTTTTTTTCTTACAGGTGAAAAACGTAAACTGACCATCCCATCATCCCTCGGCTACGGTGAACGTGGGGCCGGCAATGTGATCCCTCCCCATGCCACTCTCTACTTCGAAGTCGAGTTGATCCACATTGGCGATTCCCCACCAACCACCAACGTGTTCAAGGAAATCGACGCCGACAAGGATAACATGTTGTCCCGAGAAGAAGTGAGTATAGAATTAGCGTTTCAAGCGATGGACTCTGACGGCGACAAAGAACTATCGCGCGAGGAGGTCAGTCCCCGATGGTTTCTTTGGTGGAGGAAGGAATAAAGTCATCCTTGCCACTGTCGCTGTTTTTTCTTAACTAAAGCTTGTATTCTTATTTGCACTCTACAAATATGCTAGCGTATGCTTATTGTGTTGTATTCATTGTCAAACTAAAAACTTATCTTTTCAAATGAACATGACAGTTTACATTTATAATATAGCATGGAATAATTAACTTTTCCTATCGCATTTCTTACTATCCCTTTAAATTATAATCTTATTATCTTATTACCATACATTACTAAACTTAATATATTTCAATTCTCTTAACACTGAAATTATATTAATCCGCTCGTTTATTTAATTGCCTGTGGAACTCCGTTCCCAGTTTGACGGAACTAGTCTTCGCCATGCAACTTAACAATAATATTGTATTTACAATAGTTAAATTAAATAAAAAATACTATGATCTTTACATTTACTTGGAACTATTTTAACAAAACCAATGCATATATCAGATATACAGATTTTATGTTTGTTTAATGTGTTATAAAGCACTTGAGAAATTAAGTTTTAAACTTCTTAATAATGACATCAAGCAATTCTCAATCTATTTTCCTTATTGATAATATTTGAATATTATTATACATAAATTAATAAGTAATATTAAAAATATCTTTATTAACTCATTGGTTTTAACTTGCAGGTAAGCGAGTACTTGAAGAAGCAAATGGTACCAGCCGACGGTGCCGAAATGAGCGAGGACATCAAACAGATGCTTGAAAGCCATGACAAGCTTGTCGAGGAGATCTTCCAACACGAGGACAAGGACAAGAATGGCTTCATCAGCCACGAAGAGTTCTCCGGACCAAAGCACGACGAGCTATAAACAGTTCATTTAGAAATAGCCGCTTCCTTACTCAATATTGTTACTCAAATTGGATGCGGATTTTAAGACTTTATAAATAATTAATCTTCGTTTTAAAAATTTAAAATTTTTCATAACGGTTTTTCTTTTTTTTATAATATCTCTTTATGATTTTATTATTTAGTAAATTAAAAATTTAGGACATTTATTTTTAGACAGAGGTGTGTTTAATAAACAATATTTGTTGGTACGATTGTACTTAGTTGTTCTAAGTTGTTGGTGTATCTATGATCTATGAGTTTGTTATAATTTAAGGTAAAATCTTTGTATGTTTTACTGATTACGTTATGTATCTATATAAATAATATGACTTATTGGAACATATAACCATTACCGATATAAGCTGTTAAACATAAGAACTATCTCATTATGCATCTGTAACTTTCGTAACTTTACAATTTAATTCATAACAAAATGTCTTTTAAATATATCCATTAATCGGCGCCATATTATGGATTAAGTAAGACTGAATCAATATTATTTAACATAAGATGGATTGTCAATTTTTTTGTCAATGTATCGCTTCAATTTAATAAATAAAAACTTGAAGATTACAGTGCATTTAATGATCTGAAAATAATCATGTATCGCTAATTTAAAGTACAGATTATGTATGAATTCAATAATTAAATTAAAACAATTTGATCATTATGGTATATCAATAAACATACTCCCTAAAACTGTTTTTTCTTCTTCCCTAATCTCCTAATCAATTGTACAATACGAGGCAAAAACTATATTTTAAATATATTTAAAGAAGTAATCCCCACTACAAGAGTTGCCTCGAGGCACAGACCGGTAACACACGACGTGTGTGGGCACACAGCGAAAAATATGACAAAGTTAAAAATCCTAAATACTCTCTAGATTTTTATGAATTTATAAAATTTGCCTGATATTAAAATCCTGGCCAAAAATATGACAAAGTTATCAAGAGGGTGACACAAGATTTATCGATATTGCAACACTTTTCATAAGTCTAACCAACTAATGTCATTTAAAAATTAAACCCTACATTTTGTACTTATCATATTATACATTGCTTTCTCCACGCTGAGTACCTTATCCCTACTCTATATTCTTTAATTTACTTTCCAGTACTTTAAACTCTTTGAAATTATGTTCATCTGTGAAATTTTGCTGTCAAGCCATTGACAGCGACAATAACCGTCTAACCACTGACTTGCCATTTATAATGTACCTAATTATCCAATACTTTTGTTGAAATAACCAAAAAATAACAGTAATCCATTGGATTGAAATCTATTATATTTGTGGGTTATTTTTACATAAGCAAGCATGTTATTTGTAAGTAAATATTTTAACTAAATATAGTTCATGATTTTGTGGTGTGAATAAGAATTGAATTTTTAAAACTGAAGAAGAAAGAAGAAAATGAACTCGGGTTTTTAATAATTTTTAATTAACTAAATACAAAGTGCATACAATTAAACTTTTACATGAAACCCTTATTTTACAGTTAAGACTTGTGACTAGAGAAACAGTTTTTTTCTCGAATTTGAACCTAATACTGGTCTAATTTGGCAACACCAATTTGTTTGCTACATTTCATTTCTGCAATTTCTGCAAAGCTTCAATTCTGCACCTACTCTTTGGTAGTTTTATACTCTGTGCTTGCAGCATTTGCGATTTGGTTTGAAATTAATCAATAGTGGTGGCTGAAGAGGTGAGCAGTAATTCTTGCGTATAGGGGACATCTTATTTAAACAAAATGGTATTCGGTAAACGTATTGCATTTCTATGTGCAATAGCAGTTTTGTGTGACATCGGATTGTTTCTCTTCTTTGTTGGCTACAATAGTCGTTTCGACTGCTACGTTACAATTGATGAACATCAAGAAATCGATATCATTTTACCGGACAACTTTCTAAGTATCGGCATCGATGCCTCTGAATTACAAGATTATCATAAGGTTGATTTTGGTAAACTACGTTTCCAAAAACTTGCTACAGCATTACAGCCTGCACGTTTGAGAATAGGCGGTACAATGTCTGATCGACTCATTTTCAGTCCGAAAGATAATCCTCACTTCTCTTGCAATGAATGTGCATCTAATATTTCAAAAGTTGAATGCCATGCCATAAAAAAAATGTGCAAAAATAAAGAGCAACCGTTTTTCGTATTAACCGGAAAAAAGTGGTCAGAAATAAATGAATTCTGCAATGCTACTGGAATAAAGCTTTTGTTTGCTCTTAATTTATTGTTGCGTGATAATCACGAATGGAATAGTGACAATGCTGTTGAGTTGTTCGAATATTCAAGCCAAAGAGGCTACAAAGTTGATTGGCAGCTTGGTAATGAGCCAAACTCTCTACACCATATATTCCATGTCACTGTAACTCCAAAGATGTTGGCCCATGATTTCAAAAAATTAAGGCATGTTCTGGACCAACATGGGTACAATAATTCACTATTAGTTGGTCCAGATACAACAAGACCACAACCAAACTGTCATAATTGCCTACAGTACATGATTGACTTCCTTGATAATGGATCTGATGTGATAAATGTAAGATCATGGCATCAATATTATTTAAATAGTAGAACGGCTAAACTTGAAGATTTCTGGGATCCGAAAACCTTTGATTTACTCAATGATCAGATAATTACTATGAAAAATAATACAATGAATTACAATAATATACCAATGTGGTTAACCGAGACAAGTAGCTCATACGGTGGAGGTGCTCCGGGATTATCTAACTCTTATGCTGGAAGTCCATTATGGCTTGATAAATTAGGTCTCTGCGCTAAACACAACATAACAACTGTAATAAGACAAAGTTTCTTTGGTGGTAACTACAGTTTGGTGGATAACAAATTGGAACCATTGCCAGATTGGTGGGTCAGCATATTATATAAGAAACTTGTAGGCAATAAAGTATTGCATGTTGACTGTAATTGTACACCTATGCAGAGAATGTATGCTCACTGTACCAACAGGAAATATACCAATGATACAACGGCTATAACTATATATGCTATTAACTTAGAACTGGTTAAAGCCAGGTTTTTTTTGAATGGTACAGCTATAAAAGGCAAGAATTTAGATATTGATGAATTTGTAATAAGTACTCCTTCGAATAACAGGAATACCAAAACGGTACTACTCAATGGCTGGCCATTATTTTATGAGAATTCAATGCCCGATTTAGACCCTCATCATATAAGATATGGTACGATTATATCACTGCCACCATATTCTATTGGCTTCTGGGTTGTCAAAAATACTTTGATAAAGAAATGCGAGTAACTTCATTCAACAAAAGATCTTGGTGTGTTACAAGGAATCTTATTAGTTTTCTCATGGACCTAATGTTTTGATTATTTCCTAAGAGTTTCAAAGTTATTTAATGAATGCTTTGTAACTGTTCAAACTAATAGATCTCTCAGTGATTATTTGTTACTAGATTGTATTAAGTTACTGTTAATTTTAATTTAGGCTTAAAATTAAGCTAAATAGGTGCTGTTTAATTATACAGGATGTCCCATTATGTATATCACACTGAGATTTACTACTGTTATTTTTTGTACTTAACTTTTTTTACTTAAAATGTGAGGCATTTCACCAACTACCATTTGCAAATTTGTATTTAAAATTGTATTATATCATAGAATCAGGTCTTTTTTAAGTATGTATGAATCTCTTCCACTATTCAGATGGGCTATTATATAAAAAGTTTAAATGCAGTTGAAGCCATTTCAGTAACATTTCAACATTCAAGCTGTAGTAAACTGCTGTGTGATATAGCTTGGGTCAACTTGTATAGCATTTATGTTTTTTTTATATTTCATAAAGAAATTGAAACATTCTTCTTTTTTAAATGTTTTGTATCTTTTGATATATGTTTTTAAATCTAGTCTTCTAGACATTGTGGATAAAAAAAAATGTTTACATGTTCAGTGCCACCAACTTGTCTTGAAAGTTAACTCTTGTATGCTTTGATAATAATTAATGTCATATATACCTAGGCATAGGCCATATAGGCACTATAAGTATAAAAGGGCTAGGTGGTATCACAATATACAAATGAATCTTCTATATATATCTACAAATCTTTTTAACATTTTCTTCTTATTGGAATTTATGGATATTGGAATTTAATGTTTTTATTAGTGTAGTTATAAAATATGCCTATTGTGAACTAAAAGCCAATAATTATAAATATAAGAACATTTTCATCTTATATATGTTACTGTGAAAGCCAAAACTTCGGTAAACAAACATCACAAAATTTTCTTGGATGTCACTAGAAGTAGTTGCTAAATGTTAGAATATACTTTGAGTCTGTAGAGTAAGAATTCATTGTCAAGTAATATGTTTACTACATCTAGTACATTATTATTTATAACATTGCTTGATCGTAGCACCTTTGACATTGTGATACGGTCTTGTTAGTGCATGTTACATTTCATCATTGTTTACAATTAACTTCAACGACTATGTTCATTAGTCAAGGAGATGTCTTGTATGTGACATTGAAACGTATTTAGCTCAAGCATGATAAGGCACATATGTGAAATATTTCAATATATCTCATATAAGTAATCATACGAGATCTGTCTCTTAGTATTTACTCAGATCTGTTTAAAAAATGCATTTTTAATTAAAATAATGTAGTTGTGTACAATATACATTTATTTTAATTACTATTAATTCTTATTGATTGTTATTTTTTACCTCTTTGATGCAATTTTTGAATGTTTGTGGAAGAAGACGAAATAGTATAAAAATGTAAATACTAGCTTTTGTCTGCAACTCCGTCTGCGCGGATACAAAAAGGAATCAAGATAATAAAAATGTTCTTAAAAATGTAAATCCAATGTCTGTCAAATATTATTAAAAAAATTGTCACTCCAGCCGTTTAATGTTGAAAAACATAAATGTCGGTGCACATTTATCAGATCAGTAAGGGAATTATTCGTAAGCACAAATACAACAAAATTATTGTTTTCCCAAAATTTTTAAATTTTATATCCTAAAAGATTTTATAAATTATTGCGAACAAGTTGTGATCATTTAATTAATATTTGAGACTGACTAGATCTAGAATATTAATTTTTCTATTGTGTCAAACAGTACTTTTTTATTCATTTTTAATATGCATTATGTGAGTATCGATGATTACTTAATTATTTATACTAAAGTGTTAGGGCGAAAACTTAAAAATGCCGAATTTTAGTTACTATATTATTTTAGCTTAAACATATGTTCATCCATTTATCGCAGCTGATATGAAATTTCCAGAATTATTGAAATATGATATTGTGTAGGCTTCAGAAATACAATCTTGACAAATAAGTAAGAACTTATACCATATAATAACTTCTTTATCATTAATCACCGGCAGTCAAAGGGTTAAAACAGGTGGTTTAACTAAACAGTGTCTTACTATATTTATTTATTGGAGTAATACATTTACAATTTATAATATTGTAATGATTTTTTAAAATATGTTTAACAATTTTTAATATCTTGAAAATAATTGAGATTGGATTTTAATCTTAAATATAGTCTAGTTATTTGTGGTAATCATATTTGCAGACAAAAAACAATTCTTTCATGCCAAAGATATTAAATAGTAATTGACATTGTATTAAAATGCACACTTCAACTGTATTATATCTACATAGACATATTAATTGTTTTTGAATTATATACGGTTGCATTTAATAACTATTGTCAATAACCCAGAGTGCTTAGCTATAGATTACATGTTTATTTAGTTATCCTGACACATCACTTATTCTATACATCGATAAATACATGATGGTTAGTTACAGGTATTCATTCCATAGTTTAATCTCCGAAACGCCAATGCTTACGCTTCACAATTCCGGTGCAACATCCTCTTTTAATTACCCTATTAAATGTCTCATTTAACATGCCTATAATACTTCAAATATCGCATTTCACAAGCATTTATATTTTATTTAATATTAATTCTCTTATAAGGAATATTTTCTACTTCTACTTTTGATATAATTGTTAGTTATAAGTACAATAGTAATTTAAACATCCAGTTACTATCATCTCCTCTGTAATCTCACTTTACCATTTACAGTGGGTTTCTGAGATCATAATCCTCGTATAAAACATATTGTTATCTATGTTTTGTCAAAGATAATGACAAGGGTGATTAAATGTTTTATACCGAGGTTTTAGTTTCAGAAACCAACAGTAAATTGGTATCAGTGTTTAAGTATTCATATATGTATGTCCTCAAATATTTGTATTGATATATGCTACATTTAAAAATATTGTATCTCTCATTCTCTTTCATTATTGACAGTCGACACTTGTAAGACATATTTGTTAGACAATGTGTTTCTTATATGAAGGAATATAGAGTAAGTTTATGAAACTTGTGTAAATATTTATGGCAATTCCGCATTTTGTCTTGCGTTCCAGCTGCCAAATATTAGTCCCCTTTCTCTTCCCTGCCTTTTCTTATAAGGAAAGGATGAGAAGGGGGAGTGGATACAAGGAGGGGATATATCCTTCTTTCAGTGTGTCCCCTGTTCCATCAATTAAAGTCGGGCAATACATCTGCAATTGTGGATGTGTAAGGGTAGTGGTCGCTTCGCCATTTCGGTGTATTCAGGTGGCCGCTTGCTCCTTTGCCATCATATATTAAAAGAAAATGTAACTTGATTGGTAATTGATAAATTTTATGCTATAAATGCGCATATTGTAATTGTAAACCCTTGCTGTCACTATAATATATAAAGTAATAATTAAATTGTTTTATTAATAATTGAATCCTCAAATATAATTAGAAAACGCTTATGTTCTTATGATTTTTTGACCAATAGAATCTTGTGCATGACAAAGAAGCATTAGACAGGAACTTTTCTGCAGGTTGTCTGTATTCTATATTTTTGTAGCGAAGATCGATAAAAGTAAACTACATATGCCTGATATTGATCATAGTTTCATGAATCTTAATCCATATAAATGAAATCAAAAACAGGGTTGACAAGTGACATTGAAGACATTTACGGATATTGCCATTTACAAATATACTGACTGTAAGTTCATACACAACCTACAACAATATAACTTAGATCTTGTTTTTGAAAAACTACCTACCTCAAAAGCACACAGGGGATATAGCTGCAGTTTGCGTATTAAGGTTTTTTTTTAAATATAGAACTGCGTAGAACTTGGTACAATAACAATTTTATAGAGGACTTACTTAGCATTTTAATTGTGGGTGTTATAACGAATACCTTTCAAGGCCTCTTACTAGAAAAGTAGGTGTAATTTTCAATTTCATTATGTATAATCATAGTCTTCAACAGCTCCAACTCCCAAGCCCAAGGAACATCGATCACCACAGTACATTCCAGTGGCTTTTGCTAGTGTTCATCTTGTCTCTTCAATACTCCTACTTGTGTTAACCTTTAACCAGTGAACCATATGGGAAGACTCGATGATACAGAATGCTATTATTCTGTGGTTAGTAAATTGCTCCTAGTCCAATCCAATCCAATCACTCTCAATAGTTGACAGAACCTTGTGCCAGTAATATACTTGCTAATATAAAGAGTTGTTCTGCTTGATAAATAAAATTCATACAATAAAAGTTTACCATATGCCATACGTGCAGCTTTTGATACAACAAATACAAAATGATTCTTCTTGTGTTAGTGCTTGTACCTTTATTAAAATGTTATGCTGACGAAAATATCACTGTACCCCAAGGTAACATTATAAATTTTTCACAGTGAGGCGACGAGACGATAAGGATGTTTCTTTCACTTTACAGGATAGAAAATTGTTGTGTAATGGAATGGCATTGTAACGGTTTCGAAAAATAAATTCGTAATATTTCCGTTTACATATTTTTCCAATTTATTTAATAAATCTTCTTAACTCGATTATTTCTATAGCCTGCTATTCACATATTGCCTGAATAGGCAGTAATGTTTGCAATAAATGTTTTTTTTTGTTCGTGTCTAGATTATTTTTAATTTAAAACTATTTTTTTCAGATGAATACAAATGTTCTTTACCAGATGTGACTAGTATTGACGATAATCTGGATATTACCAGATTCAGGTCTGATTTCTCCAAAATTTCTGAGGTATAAAATTTTATAGTTTCTGATGTTTTGGTGTGAAAATGCATTTTGTCTTTATTAGATTACTCTTTTCAGGTAAAATTTCCAGGGCTCATTGGTCCATTAAATGAGAGATTAATATGCAAAATAAAATGCATAGATGGAAACTGGGTTGGCCCTTTATGTTCTACTACAGCAGGTAAAATTAATTGTCGAATAACTTTCAGATCTGTGAAAAATAAATAACCATAACAATATACTTCCAGAAGGCAGGTTCCAACCGATATTACGTGAATGTTTTTACCGGGATGACTACAAGTTATTATCAATTTCATTTAAGAATTCATCAATTGAGGTAATGTCAAACTATTTAACCTTATCCTAGGTATACTCATCATTTTAGAAGTAAGACATATTGTGGTTTGCATCATCTAATATCCACCAAATATCTATAGTTTATGAAATCCCTTAACAATCACTTAAATAACACACAGATAACTTAATAATTTTAATTTACAGAAAGAAACCTACTTCCCTCATGGTTCAATAGTTACATCAAAATGTAAGCATTTTGGCTTATACAAATTGAAAGGCGAAAGCCAAGTGAGATGTGAAAATGGAGAGTGGAGTCCAAAATTTCCTGAATGCGTTCCCACAACATTAGTCACCAACTTTACAGGTAAGAATATGTGTTTAATATCTGTATTAGATTTCTTCTTGTAGTTTAAAGATGAAATAAAGGTGTAAGAAGAGAAGAGGAATCCTGACTAAAGCACTAGATGTTATATTTCTTTATAAATAGTAAGAATAACCTATACTATAAATACTAGCCCGATACTATGACAGTGCTTGGGACCTCAACAGAGATTTAAGCCAATGTAATTTTGTAATAAGCTCTTAAATATCCTCACCTCACCTTACTATGCCTTAGTCAACCATGCTGGTAGAGCATATTGGTTGTCTTGACATAAAAACTTTTAAGTAATAATTGACACTTTATTTCAGGTGATGCCCCACCATCCATCCAATATGTTGTTGTTAGTGGTTCAGCAGTGGTGGAGCCCTCCGGTGAACTGTTTGTATATCCGGATAGTACACTATGGCTCGATTGTATTATTCCTCGAGTTTTGGGAGATCCAGATTGGAGTTGGACACAAGCATTAGGGCAGCACAATGCAGGTTATTTTTTTTATCTCTAGATAAAATATCCATTTGCTTTTTTACTTGATTATATAAATTTGTTGAACTAGTAAATCTTTCAATATATGTAGTTTTTAAACAAATATAAAAATATAATTTAAGAGGAAAATAAAGGACAATAGGTTTAATTAGCAGTTTTGGGCCAGAAACCTTTGCGTTTGCTCTTAGAACCCACCAAAGTATCATCATAATCTGATCTATGGTTTAAGCCTTACCATAGAACTTCATGCATGAATTGTATTAATACCTGTTGTCCCTGTCTTTCTTTTTAACAAAACTGAGACAACACTATAGAAACAATTTTAACATAGAACAATGCTAATTTCAGCTTGGGCGGCAGACGATGAAGAGAAAGAAACACACTATCGCTTGACTTTAATGAAGATGTCAGCGCGACACAGCGATCAGTACACGTGTACATCATCTGGAGGCCATACCAACACCATCATCATTAAAGTTGTTAGTGAGTCTTATTTACATGAGGACTATATATAATTAGTTATTCATAAACTATGCATCTTACTAATATAACAAAGGCGAATGTTTGGATGGATGGTTGGATTTTTGTTTGAAGGTATCTCCAGAACGGCTGAACGGATCTTGCTGAAATTTGGCATATATGTAGAACATAGCCTGGAAGAACACATAGGCTATTTAAGTTTTTTTTGTAATTCCGCGCAGACGGAATCGCGGGTGACAACTATCATAATATATATCATCCGGAGTTGGTCATGTTGTGTGGGTGAACTTGGATAACCATAAACCTACAGTGAAACTTGTATTCATTTGATTCTCTTTGATATAACATAGATTAAAAAATGTACTAAGTGTCAGTGAAAACCCACAACAAGAACTTCAAATGGCCTTACAGAAAGGTGTTAAAAAAAGACCTATTATGAGCAGTGGATCGGTTAACATTGATGTTAATATCCATCCATCCATTTTAGTTGTCCATTATAGGATGTATCATGCTTACTAAAAATTGATTGGTAAATTGTTGAATTTCAAGGACCCAAATGCTTAGCTTATTTTTTTTTTCAGGTGTTGTTTGTCCACCGATAAATGTGTCATCGCCACGGATTCGTCTCTTCTCGCAAGGATGGAAACTTGGTCACTCCGTACATTTTAGTTGTCAACCGGGCTTCCATTTAAATGGCTCGGCTATACTTTACTGTATGGGTAATGGTAAGTTACACAGTTTGTTTTTAATTTTAATATATTTACTATCAGTTAAATAATTATGGTTTGTTTATTCCATAGCAAGTAATTTAGGATTACTCTTCTTTTTTTTTACAGGTCATTGGTCAGCATTACCTCCGACATGTGAAGAAACTTTCTGTCCGATGCTAAGAACGTTGGGACCTCACTTGAGCCTTGTAGAATACAACTCTTCGTATGGAGGGCGAGCAGTGTTCCAGTGTTCATGGGGCTACAGGCTCGTGGGTGCACCAGGACTGGAGTGTGAGCTTGATGGAAGATGGTCAGGGGATATACCTCATTGCATAGGTAAGTCCAGAATATTTTTAAATCAAACTAACGGTCGCCCGTGACTCTGTTAACGCGGAATTTAAAAAAACATAGTAGCCTATGTGTTCTTTTAGCGTATGTTCTATATGTATGTCAAAGTTCATCGATAGCTGTTGAACTGTTCTGGAGATACCTTCAAACAAACATCCATCTAAATATTCGCATTTATAATATTTGTAAGATGTTGCATAAAATTATTCATAATTTTTAGTATTTATATATTTTTTTCTTTCCAGCTATCTACTGTCCTAATCCAATAGTGCCAGAAAAGGGACGTTTATTGACACAAGCATCTACTAAGAATGGAAAATATGCTGTAGGTGATTTATTAATTTATGGATGTGATGAAGGATATCAAGTGCTAGGTGAACCTTCCATTGTATGCACCGAGAATGGATTTTGGTCACATCCTCCGCCATTTTGTCTACGACCATCAGAAATAAGGAAAGCAGACACCATTTATATAGAAAATACAACTTTTGTACATTTCGAAGATTAAGTATAACCATACAACTTCATTGCAGTGATAAATGTAATACATATTTTTCTCTCTTTCTTTTTCTTTCACGAAATTGAGACAACTATATATTTAACTGTTATGGCAGTTTAAATCTATATGTCCTTGGTGGCTAGATAAAGTATATCCGTTCCGAAGCCATTTCATAACAAACTTCAAAAATGTATAGAACTTTGGATAAGTCATGTGATTATCTCACTTCAGTTCCATACATTTGTTACATTCGTTATAGAATCGCTTCTGAACGAATGCACTTTGTCCAGTCCCCAAGTTGTGTTATTGAAAATAATTGAACAACAGCATCGATGGATTGGAATTATTCAGTATTATTATTATTTATTACAAGTTATTATAATAATAAGTATAAAAATATGCCTTCACAGATTATTATTGCTATTAGATGATTATAAGAAATTTGTACTATTAATTTTAAATCTTTGACCGGATTTAAATCGGGAACTATACCTATTCAATTTTTATGATATGATTGCTTTTATTAAAAAAAGTTTATTTTAATTATTATATATAATTCAAACAAATATATAGTTTTAATTGAAAAAAATAAAGTACAAATTTAACTTTCTTCATTGTACTAAAGATATTTTAAGTAATATTTCAACTTAGAGATGTATTAGAAATAAGTTTATTAGATTAATAACTCAATGGTTACCATTTTAATTTGTAATACTCATTTTTTGTTTTGTTTTAGTTTTAAAGGATATAAAATATAGCATATTAATAGAAAAATCTTGTAAAAGTATGATTGATATTGAAATGTACCAAAAATATTTAAAATCATATACAATTTTTATTATATATAATGTATATAATAGTTTAAAGCTTGTTATTTATACAGGATTATTTCATAATTACCAGAAAAAATTTATAACATTGCTTATTGACGATATTGATCATATTTATTAAAACATGGAAAAATTATCCTAAAAAACCACTTACTGAGGGTTTTTGAGTTCAAAATCTCCCTTTAAAAAGTATTGTTATCTCTGTTTTGTCAATGCAAATGCGTATGTCTATGGGCAACGATCACTTCGCTACTTCAGCGATTTCGGGTGGCCGCTCGCTCGTTTGCCGCCTTATCATATAAAAAAAAGAAAAAAAAAAAGATGAAAGACAGTGATGAAAATATATTTTATGCAAAGAATTTGGTCTTGGAAATCCACAGTTAATGGTCGATTGCAATAATATTAGTGTGCGCGCACACAAAGTCTCGTTATATTCATAAAATGATGCAATGACATTTATATTATACTTACACCCCGCTGCGGCCTAGATATCATTTTCAATGATAAAATTCAAAGTATTGTGTCGATGTTTTTACAGATATTTGAAAATTCGAATTTGTTAATAACTTTGTCATTATTGGGTAAAAAAATAATGACAATACATTTAAGATCATAGTATTCTATGTTACCTATTTTCTTTTTACTGGTAATTAAAAAATATTTCTGTATTTTACATATTTTATGTACGTTACTCGTTAAAGTTAATATTAAAATATTTTCCGTTTTCAGTGATATTTCATATTATATTGAAATGATATTTATTAATTGTTGGAAATTCTTTTATATTTCAAGTTTTTATTATTAAAAGTTATGTAAAATAAATATTATTTGTAAAAACCTTGTTTTGAAGTAAAGCCTGACCACCAATATAAAAACTATCATAATCTCCATTGATATTGCAACACTACATCTCCGTCAATTTACGAACTTATCCCAAGGGAACCTTTTACATTTTTGGGATCAAATGTAGCCTATGTGTTCTACATATAAACCAAATTTTGCTCACTAAGGGCTTCTTCGTACTTAGTTACTGTAACTAAGCTAGAGAGCTCCCCTAGGTGCTAACTTATTTACTCTTAAACGATTTAGGCTTCTGCGCCAGACCACCTTAGCTCGGTGAAACTGTAAATGCCTTTTCAAGACAAACATTGGCTATTCAGTAACAAAATAAATGAGGTTAAATTTGTATTTCATGAATAATTTTAATTACCCATGAAAAAAATAAGGTTTTATTTGCTTTTGATCAATAATGTCAATAAGCCTTGAAATAAATGAGGTAATATTTTATTCTTCGCTCTTGGATGTGGCAATATTTGTATTTGATCAGCAGTTGAGCAGTGGATCAATAATGAATAAAATTAATTAGTCATGAACGCAACTAAAATTGATGATCTGCAGATCACCTCACGGTTCACAAGCGTAAAACAGATCAGTGAACCAGCTCGCATTTGAGAACTGCGAGTTATCCAGTAGCTCGCGCCTCTTTACCTCACATAATTATAGTAAACTAGCTTTTGCCCGAGACTCCGTTCTCGCGGAATAATAAAAAATATATAATTAGTAGCCTATGTTTCTTTCAGACTATGTTCTATACGTAAGCTAAATCTCATCGCGATCCGTTTAGCCGTTCTGGAGATCTCTGCAATCATCCATCCATCCTTCTAAACATTCGCATTCATAATATTAGTAAGATATTGCAAATAGCCGTCATCTGTCAATTTTGTTGTGGAGTCGTAGCTCAACGGTTTAAGTGATCTGATATTTTGAATAGATTCAGAGCTGATTTACGCATGTCTAGTGTCAATTGACTGTAATTGTGTCAACTTCAAATTCATAACATGTAAACGATATCGATTTGAAAATTGGCGTTTTACTATGTTTTAATACGACGCTTACCGTTTACGTGCCGTAAACATGGGTATTTTCACGAAACTTCTTATATTTGGATTAATCACTGTGAAACTCTCTCCGTATTTCTGTGAATATTTAGGAAATAGTTCGTATAAATGGCCAACAGTAGCTATTTCCGTTCTGGTTAGAAATAAAGCTCACACCTTACCTTATTTCTTTTCGTGCTTGATGAATCAGGACTATCCCAAAGACAGAATCTTCATTTGGTAAGTAACTTAAACTATTTAGTCGTATATTGGGAGTGCTTTTGTTGAATATAATGTCTGATTTTAATATCAATTACTGCAAGATTTTGCTGTAATCTATATCTGTGGTTGGTTTCAACTGCGCTATAATGACAATAAATTATTTCAATATTTTTTATTGTTATAAAAAAGAAGATTGCTTGTTTGCCTTAGCTTTTTTAAGATTACTTGTGGGGCCGTTTTTAGCATATCCGGCGCCTTGGTTGAGATTTTTGCGGCGCCGTCTTCTTTTTGTGTCGGGGAATATCTTCCAAAGATAAGGGTATCTTAGGGGTCACCGTAGGCGCACCATTATATCCGACTAGTGTCTGCGGTGCTCAATTATGACGCCGTACCTCGCCCTACCCTGATGTCGCTAGTGGTTGCTTCTAATCTTTAAATAAGAAAATATGTTATTTTTTCGACAAAATTTGGCTGCTTACTTCTATCTAACCATGCTTAATTCTATCTATATAAATTGTTTTATGTTGTGCACTATAGCAAAAATGCAAGGACAATAAGCTCTTTCAAACTTCAAGTTACTACACAATCTGACCTTATATTTAGACAAATAGTTTTGGTGGCACCAAGCACAACTGAGCACATTGTGTTGTATGCTCTCATCTCTTTAATTCCTGCCACTCCCTAAATTGTGTTCTGTGCATTCTGATCCAATGTTGTGAGCTACCAGATGGATATTTTATGCAGCAATACAGGTTAATAATTTTTGCTTTTTAAGGATTTATAGCGACTTCAATGAAGATAATAGTATTGAGATAATAGAGGATTGGGTAAAAAAGTTTGGTTCCTTATACAATGCAGTATATGTCACCACAAATGCGACGAATGGTCCATTGCACCCAGACGAGGAAGTATCTTCAAACTGGACTCCAAAACACTTTGAGCATGTAATTCAGCTGAGGGAGAGTGCTCTTAGATTTGCTAGGAGAATGTGGGCTGACTTTATATTTGTGAGTAAATAATTAAAATAAAAACTGATTGTAAATTAGAAAAAAAATTAAAAGTCCCTCAACTGTAGACAAAATCATAGTCCGGCAAAGAATATGAAATAAACAACTCTACTTGTCAAAATTGGTCCAGCCGTTTAAGCTCTAGGTTGTCACAATGGAACTTACATACAAACCCTCTGTCAGTGGGGTTAAAATGTTACTAATACAAAAAATGCTAATGTTTAGATGGATGGATGGATGTTTCTTTGAAGGTATCTCCAGAACAGCTTAACGGTTTTCGTTGAAATTTGGCATATATATAGAACATAGTCTGGAAGAACACATTGGCTACTAATTATGTTTTTTTTTGTAATTTCGTACCGATGGAGTCAGTAATAAAAAGAGTTGTGATAAATTGTTGTCAATGTTTTTTCACAATATAGAAAAGATTTCTTTTGTTTTCAGATGTTAGACGCTGATGCTTTTCTGACTGATACCACAACATTAAAATATTTAGTTAATAAGGACATGTTAGTTGTTGCCCCTATGCTTGTCTCGGATGGACTTTACTCAAACTTTTGGTTAGCTTCTTTTAATTAAAATAATTCTTTACTTTGTTGCTTTGTATTTTTTCTATACATTGGTATAATGAATATGTCAACCTTTTGCTGAAAATGTATATTTTATTCTTATCAATTATGTCAATGACACTATTTATGATTGTGGATGTTATCTTTTATGTTTCCAAATAAATATACAAATAACTAGGAATGAATTAAAATTAGTTAAAAATATAGGTATATTTTGAATGTGTAAGTTCCATGACTATAGTATTTACAAAGAAATTGAACATGCCAGAAGAAGTTGTTTGCACTGAAAATGTTAATTTTATGTTCATCTCTTGATAATTTATAAATCTAGTATATTTTCTTTGACAATAATCTAATTAATCTAACAATTTCCAGGGGAGGGATGACGGAATATTATTATTACAAAAGAACGGATGATTACACGCCTATTTATCAACGTGAAAGAGTTGGATGTTTCGATGTTCCTATGGTGCATTCTGCAGTACTCATATCTCTAAGACATCGTAGATCAGATGTACTAACATATAATCCGGATAACATCAGAGATTATGAAGGGCCCTATGATGATATCATAGTTTTTGCTTTAAATGCAAATCGAAATGGTATATTTTTTTATAGATTCTACTTAATAAGGTGTAATATAAGATTTTTATTTATAATTTTCTTTCTCTTTAGGTATTCCACTTAAAGTATGCAATGATCATCACTATGGATTTATACCCATACCATTAGAGGATGGCCAAGCACTTCAACATGACCATGAATTATTGTTGAATGTAAAAATGGAAGCTATAAGTCGGGGCACCCCTTTGGCACTCAACAAACATTTTGAGCGCTATGTGACTTATCCGCAAACATCTAAACTGGGATGCAGTGAAGTATTCTTGATTAATCTCGAAAGAAGACCACAGAGACTGAAACTAATGGCATTAAGCTTTAAGGAACTCGGCATAGAAGCTAAACTGTTCAATGCAATTGACGGAAAGTATGTCTGATAATAAATTATACTGTAACTATAAGTCCCTTTACAATACACATTCACAGCTAAAATATTACATGTGCTGTTTCCACTAGTAGTTTGCTTAAGGTTTATTAGTTACTTTGGCAGCGACACGTAGTGGAAGAGACTTAAACCCCTTTTCTATTATGAGCATTAAATTATTTTTTATATGCCAGTATTTTAGGGTTCTGCCATAGCTAAAATGTTTTTTTCATTTTCTTTTCAGACAGTTGGATGTATGTAATTTGAAGGAGAATTTCATCACTTTAATGCCAGACTATGAAGATCCTTATCATAAAAGGTGAGAAAAATTACCTTTATCTTGTTTAGATTAATAATTATGGATAAATGTTATTTTGTAACATAATTTTACATTTGTTTTTATTTTTTTTCTGCAGACCGATGAAAGCTGGGGAAGTGGGTTGCTTCTTAAGTCATTATTACATATGGGAGCAGGTAAAATTCACAAATACTAAAAAAAACACAGGATAGTTTTAACCCTTATGTTCATTTTGTATAGTATACCATACATACAACTTTATAAAAATATACTATCACTATAAAATTATTTTTAACATAGTTTTTTTTTTTAAATTTGATTTTTTGCTTTTCTTCAAAAAAGAAATCCTGCTACACTAAGGGTTAATAAAATTTTATTAACCGTGGGATTCTGATATCAAAATCTTTGTATAAAACATCATCATCCCTCTCTTTCATCTTTAACAAAGCAGAAATGACAATATGTTTTAAACGGAGACATTAGTCTCAGAAACCCACGGTAAATGGTGTAATAAAGTAATAAATAACATGTGTAAGGTAAATTTTTCAAAGTCATTGGTTTAATTATATGTATTTCAGATAGTGGAGGAAAATCTTGATATCTCATTAATCCTAGAAGATGATATACATTTTGTGCCATATTTCAATCACCGTTTTGCTGAGATTATGGACGAAATAAAAAACCTTGATTGGGATTTAGTGTAAGTAAATAATATTTAAAAAGTCTAATTTGTTCAAGATAGTATGACAGTGTACGATCAAGTAAAATATATTTAAAAATAATATTATTCATAAACTGGACATTATAAGTACTTTTTTTTATTATTTTAAGCATAATGTTAAAACTATCGATATCTGTCAAGTGTCAAACTACTCTACAGTTTACAGTTTGGTTTGTAGTGTCATGTGTATTGATAAATGTTAAACTAGTGGTCGCCTGCCGATTTGGTCTGTGCAGAATTTAAAAAAAAAGTTGCATATAACATGACCACATGCATCAACTACCTTCCAGTCAAAATCGGATCAGCTGTTCCAGAGATTATCCGGAATAAACGAGACCTTGCAGACAGACATACAGACAGAGTAAAATTTGAAAAAATTGGAATTTACATACCAACAACACATAACAATATATAATGTGTACTATATATGATTTTTTTCGACATTACATATTATACTTACAATCCAATTTTATTTGTTTAGATATAAATGTTTTCGGTTTACTTTGAACTATTTTACCTCACTATTCTTGTGTGTTTTATATATCATAAGGTGGCAAACGAGCGAGCGGCCACCTTAAATCGCTGGAATAGCGAAGTGACCGTTACCCATAGACATACGCAATTGCCTACCTTTAATCGACGGAGGAGAGGATGCACAGAAAGAAAATATTTTCCCTTCCCATGCATCCTCTCATCCGGAAAGTCCACTTCCACTTACCATCCTTACCGTATAAGAAAAAGGGTGGGAAGGGAAAAAGGACCAAATTAGGCCTCCGGGACGCACACTCATTAGACGAAACACGGAATTACTTCCATTTCACGCCTATCTTCTGTGTGGTCGTGGTATTTCACCGGGCGAGCCTGGCCAATACGTGCGAAGATGTTAAAGCGGGCTCTGCCACTGTTAAAATGTGTGGAATCAGTAACATGTTTGTTTTTTTTTCAGTTACATCGGCAGGAAGATATTGATGGATGGGAAAGAGGAATTTGCAGCACCACATGTGACGAAGCCGCGTTATTCTTATTGGACACTAGCTTACTTGTTAACTAAACGTGGTGCACAGAAGTTATTAGATGCGAATCCATTGGACAAATTGCTTCCAGTTGATGAATTCTTACCAATCATGTTCGATCAGCATACCAAGTAAGTTATTTTTTTTATATCATAATAAGTAAACGAGCAAGTGACCGCTGCCCATAGACTGGAATTACAGATGCATTGATTAACATAGGAGATACAGAGAAATAGAATATTCCCCCTTCCTGTGTTCCCGGCTCTATCAAATCCACTTCCTCTTCCTGTTTAATTATAAGAAAAGGTTGGGAAGGGAAAGTGGAATTAGGCCTTAATACCACACACTTATCAGGTATGTGGAAAGGCTCACACTTTGCTGTCTTCTGTATGGTTGTGGTATTTCACCGAGTTGCTTTCATTGGTAACATAAGATTTATAAGTGTTAATTAACTTACACTTAGTTAACTTTTAGTCTATGCGAATGAAATGATCTGACTGATATACGTTTTTTATATAATTTTAGGCCGATGTTGGTATGTATGAAATTTCTATTTAACCTCAATTCAATTGATTTTTGAAGAATGTAGTGTCCTCGATTTGTTATATTTTCGATACTGAGTCAATTATTTCTTAATTAAATATAATTGTACTTTGCAGTACAACATGGAAATCATATTTTCCACATCGGAATCTGAAAGCATTTTCTGCATCGCCTCTCTTAGTTCACCCGACACATTATACTGGTCAGGAGGGATACATCAGTGATACAGAAGATTCCACTGTAGTCAAAGTTATCGAACCAGGTCGTATAAGGAACGAACTTTAAGACAAACTGACATTCCAAACTAATAACATTTACACTTGTTTAACACGTTCAATGCTACTCACCAGGCGAGTTTACTACGACGTGTTACAAATGTTGCATTAAAATGGATATTGATTTAATTTTAGATGTAAGACAATGCCAAATGTTGCCATGTTTCCTCTAGAGTTAAATATATAAAAAAAATCCTTAAAAATTATGCTGTCATATAATTTTTACTTTTGAAATCTCTAACAATCTCAATATATAACTATAATAAATATATTGCCATAATATTTTTTAACTAACATAGTCGAAAATTGCCATAATTGTTTTTTTTTAATTTTTATATTATATACAATTTAGTTATATTTGATTAATTTTATAAAATCTGATTATGCATTTATTATAATTGTAATTATAAGAATAATTGAATGATTTTAAGTGTTTTTTTTTAATTATTTGATTTTTATAATAATTTGAAAGCCATAAATGTTGCTAGTTACTTTATAAAATATATGAATATATGCAAATCGTTTTATTTTTTATTTAACCTATACGAATATACAGTTCAACCATACTGATTCAATGTGATTTTAATTTAACACAAATCTTTGATATAGTCAACGTATTTTTTATATTTATTTTGATAATGTTTGATTGGATACCAGAGGGAAATTTATCAAGTAAAATTATTATATCTAAAAAAGCATATGATCGTGCCATGTCTAATAACATAAAGGTTCAAGACGTTGTTGAAAATTTAAAAGATTTTTACAAAGAATTAGATGAAGCTGTAAAAACTGTTGATTTAATAGCGGACAATATACATGAGAAAATTAAAATATCAAATATATGTGTAAACGAAAGAATCGCTGTTGAAGAATGTTACAAAAATAACAAGGAAGTATTAAATTGTTCTGATATGGTCGAAAGATTTATGAAATGTTCACGTGAATTTAGCTGTGCAGCGAATGCTGAATCTAAATAGTGTTTTGTATAGATTGTTCATTAAAATTAATAAAATTTGCTTCGTACAAATGGTTATTTTATCAATTATTTTCAATGGCTGTCGCCTGTGACTCCGTCCGTGCGGAATTAAAAAAAAATTATAGCCCATGTGTTCTTTCAGTCTATGTACTAGCTCAGCGACATACATGCAGCCTTTCTAGAGATACCATCAAACAAACATCCATACATTCATATAATTGCATTTATAATATTAGTATAATAATATTAGATGATATCTTAAATCTATTTAATTTTTAGATAAATGAGAGAGATATAAAAAAAAAACGAATGATATTTAATATTGTTTACTTACACATAAAATTGTTAAACAAAATAATTTTAACTATTAAATCGGATTTTTTATGTATTATAATTTTAATAAACACAAATAATAAAACAACTTTACAAGAACAAAATGTAATTGACATCAAAAATTAGTTGATTTATTTCGAAAATTTGTTTCTTACATAATTACAATAAACAACTTTATTAGTGGAAAAGGAGTTACAATTGTTAACTAAAGCTTAGTATCGGCTATCAGTTGGAAGAGAAATTCTATAATAGTTCTGGTTGGCCGACCTGTCATTCCTCGTCCCAAATAAGGAATATCACTTCCTTTACTATAAGCCACATTGTAGGTATCCAGATGTATCCATTGACTATCACATACGAACTGTTTTAAAAATGCTGCACAGTTCGGTGAATCACCATATTTATGTTGTGCAGTATTCGCCACATCTGCAGAATTAGTGTCTTTTATACGGTCTTCGTAAAATTTCCAAAGCGGCATTCGCCAAATTCTATCACCTGTTTGACTGCTAGCCAATTCCAGATAACAAAATAATTCCTCAGAATTTGTATAACATCCACACGCAGCACCATCTAGAGTATGTAATAACTCTTTGGACATGGTTCCTATATCGATGATAAACTTCGGCCAGTAATTTCTCGCATATACTAAGGAGTCTGCGACGAGCAACCGACCTTCACGAGATGGAAGCCTAATGAGAATAGATTTACCATTACCGCTGTTCACTAAGTCTCCAAATTTTGGGCTTTTTCCATTTGGCATTAGTTCGCAAAGTGGTAGAATTCCTCTAATGTTGACGGGTAGTTTTAACATTGAAACAGCTCTTATTATAGCTAGAACACACGCTGCACCTGCCATATCACCTTTCATATATTGTAAATCTTTTGGAGATTTTAAATCTAAGCTGCCACTATCAAATGTTACTCCTTTTCCGATCAACACGATAGGTCGCTGGAGCTCGTTAGCACCGTAGTAACTGATTTCAACATAAAGAGGGGGTTGAATCGAAGATCTTCCGATAGCCACAAATCCCCCCATCTCATGACTTGCTGCCCAGCCTTGCGTCTTTACTTGCACGTTTATATTTAATTCACAAAGTAGGTCTACTGCAATTTTAGCAAAAGAAGTAGGGTTTAAATAATTTGCTGGCATTTCTTGCAAATATCTGGCCAAATTTTGGGATTCCGCTTTTATTTGGCCAATATTCCAACCCTCCACATCGCAGTTATCGTGTAAAACAAACTTTGCGTTTGGTATAACTTTTTGGTTCAATATACTTTTATATTCTCTAAATTGCCAAACAGCTAAGTTTGCGCCCTCAGCTGCTGCTTCAGCGTTTCCAAAAGATTCCACATGTATATAGGTTGGTCTCAACGCATTCAATGCTTTGGCTCCTGTTCCTGCTGCTATTCTAATGGCTTCTTTTCTTTCATCCAATTGTTCTAAAGAGTTAAATGAGAAACACTCTGTTCCAAGTCCAGCAACAGCGACGTACGCAAATTGTGGATCTAAATCATAAAATATCCTAGCTTCACCGAGTCTAGGTATGGGAGCTAATTTTAATTGTTTCCACAATTTTCCTCCGCATGCATCATTGTATTTCTGGGCACTCGGAGTGAGAATGACCGATTCCTCCTTAACATTATCGTTGTAATATACTCCCAAAACAAGTCCTTTATCACGAATGGCACAGGCTTTAGGATCTCTTAATTGTTGTATGTTAATTTTTGATATACAATCACTGCGTTGAATTTTAAATTGTGATATAAAACGGACAAATACATTTGTCTTTCTTAAATTTAGCACACTGATTCTATACATCTTTAAAATTTATAATAGTAAATATGGTTTGTAAAAAACAGATTTTCGAAAAGTAATCATTGACTTATTAAAACGTCGCCTACTAGTATTTCTTATTCGAATTTTAGTATCGTATTTGCAATTTAAAACAAATTACACTTGAATAACATTAAACAGTAATTCACAATTTGTGTAACTCACACTCCATTCAAAGTTCACACTGCAATCATATATAACACATGTCTTTTGGAAAGGTCAAGAAGTTTTTTTCTTGAGCCACTCAGGAGCGTGTGTTCTTAACCATTCAGGAATATCGAGGAGAAATGTTTCTTGCAGCTGTCTGTATATAATTAAAATAAGAATTGGTATTGCTAGCCTTTCATCCCTGAAAAGATAAACCCAAAAAGCTAACAACAATAAACATACATCGACTGTGTAATCTATAGCTGTTCTAACATTTCTTTTAGCTCTCTCTTCAAGTTTTTGATAATCTATTGGTATAATTATTGTAGCTCTTTCAGTTTTCTTTAAAACTATTTGTGTATCTTGACTAGGTTTAATTGGAGGTTTTAAATTAGATTTTTCCTGTTCTTTAGCTGGAATATTTTTTTCTACCTTTGGTATCACTTTCCGAATAGATTCAGGTTGTGTGGTGGGGCTTTTATTCATAGTTTTTTTAGTCTTTGCTATTATAGGTGCAACTTTACTTCTAGGTTTGCTCTCAAGAGATTCCTTTGACAGAGGTTTCTGTCTGCTCTCAGATTTCATGTTTTTCTGTTCATGAGCACTGGGACTATGTTTTTCTTCTTCTTCGTTACTGACTAACTGTTGTTTTTCTGCTACAGTTTTCAGGTCATCCGTACTAAGATAAAGAGGCGTTGTTGACTTTTTATGACTACCGTATTCTTTTACAATGTTACCATAATAGTCTATAACAGTTTTGCTTTCTTCAACAACTTTGTCATCAATATTTTCTATATTATCTTCAACTTTACTGTAATTGTTTTGAATATTGGATTTCTCAGTTTTCTCTTTTTCTTTCTTGTTCATTATTTTAGGTAAATTGAAGGGCTTTTGTACTGGTATTTTTGTTATTCTCTTTAATAGTGTTATTTTTTCTTTTTTTCTATTATTGTCAATTTGATTTTCACCACGGTCAGACTTATTAACTTGCAAATTATTTAAATTATCAGCTTCTCTTCTTTTAAGTATAGGCTTTGGAATAAAATTAGGATCAGGAAGAGGTGACAACTTAGGTCTTTCTTCTTCCAGTTCATTTTCCTGATTATTTTCTAATTCCTTTTCTTCAGATACTTCTTTAACTGGTGAAGGTCGGGTAATTTTATTTCTTGGGTTATATGTTTCCTCTTCTACATTATATTGCAGCCTATCTATCTCTTCACTGAGGCTATCCTCATCTGAATACTCTCCATCCGTGGAGACAGTGCTAGCTGTATAATCTTCGTCAAATGACATTTGTTGCCATTTATTTTCTGATGTTTCTGAATCCTGGGGAACTAGTTCTGGAGTGTATTTGTATTGTTTATTTTCAATAGAATCCGTTTTAATAAAAATTTCTGGTGTCTTAAACGTTCCTGTGATTGGTAGCACTGGTGATTTGGATGTAATTGTAATATCCGAAGTCTCTTGTTGTTTTGAATCTGGTTTGTAAGGAATGTCGTTGTCTATGCTGTCGTGTTTGTGGGATATTTCGTCTTGTTGCTTCGTTTGCTCTTCCTTCATAGCTATAGCCTTGTAGAAGCGTGCCATTGCTCTCTCGTGCAAAAGTTCGGTTGAGCTAACTGCATTGCGTAGTGCTTTAAATGGCAAGATATTTCGTGTACTTAACTCGGGAGCAGAAAGCGAAAGGGGCGGTGGCGAAAGTGCGTCTTCCAAGTCGAGTTGAAACGATTTTCTCTTTTCTGAAATGGAACAGATTTTCTTAATTTTTTTTATGTCATTAACGGCTCCATAATACACATCAATTGCATTCGCTTTACAAACGATTATCGCTTCTTGAACGACGGCGGTACAGTACTTTTTACTGTCAATAACGTCACAGAAATTTAGAAAAACATAATATATAGTTAGGCAATATGTATACAAATAAATAAAATTCGCAGAATTATAAAATTTCGCAGAAGCTTAGCATTTTTTGGTTGATAATTTTATCTCGATTGCTTTTGTTTGTCTGTATAAATACAATCTCAAAATATCTGATATCAAGTTAACGTAATTCGAAATGTTCAATTATTAACATATATTATTTCACATTAAGCTTAAAGATTAAAGCGCTAGCGTTTGTGTTGAAACTATCAGATCAACACAGTGTATTTATAGCATAAAATATGCGTGAACAAATGAACTAGTATTTCACTGTTTCTCGTTAAATCAAAGAATAGACAAGAATACAAGACAAAATAGCTTCTATTTGTTATATATTTCCCGTCTTTTGTCATTATTATTTTGCTCATTTAGGTACATTGTAAGTAAATAACGTTTAAATAAAGTAGAGTTGTATTACTACGAAAAAACTTTATGAAATTGAAATGTTTACCTGCTTTTTCGGCTGATTTGTTACTTTCAGGATACAATACTAGCATAAACTCGTTGCTTCCTTCAGGTTGCGTTCTAGGAGAAGTCTGCTTCTGTTTCCGAGGCGGAACCGTGTCGTTGACAGTGGGTGAAGCGGCGTTGACGCGTTTACGACGTGGCACCGGCGACACTGGTGGCTCCTCACCTTCCTCTCGAGTTAACACCTGATTGATAATGCGCGATTCCACGGCAAGGAATTCCATATCCACCGCCCGACCCGGAATACGGACCGGGGGCGATTCTACACTTGGTAAACTCATACCGTACGGGCTTTCTGCTTTCACACGAAATCGGTACTCGCTTCCTTCTATTAAATCGAAGAGCGTGACATTTGTTTTACGACTCGTTGTCGCCTTTAACCACACGTTCCATCCATTGCGGTAGTACTCCACTACGTAGTTACCTATTCGACATCCACCATCGTCCTCGGGGGGCTCCCAGTCCAGTGTGACCGACTTGTCGACCTGCCGCGTGACGGTGACGCGACGAGGTGGGTCCGGCGGTGCGGTGATGGTAACTAGAAACGAGGCCGTATCCTCCCCTATATTATTACGAGCGTGTACTTGATATTCCCCTCTATCGCTTCTACGCGCAGAATGTATCTTCAGCAAAGAAAATTTTGGAGTAGTTGTGATTTCGACGCGGTCATCGACCTCGATTGGTTGGCCATCATGACGCCATTCCACACTCGGAGTCGGCTTACCCACGATTGTGGTTTTAAGAAACACCGTTTCATTAATTTCGTACAAGAGGCCATCCTCATATTGGCGCGGGTAACGTAACTTAGGCGCAGCCTCCAGCACTAGCCGAGCTTTCGACACTGCATGGCCGATACGGTTCGTTGCAGTGCATTTGATCTCACCTTCATCACTGGCTAGGGTCTGATGAAATATTAGGACGCTGGAGGATTCGTTCGTGGTTATCGCAGTTCTTCTACTACTGAAAATTTCGTAGTCGTCTTTAAACCAACCAATCGTCGGAGCGGGTGTGCCGGTGAAGACAACGCGGAACTCGGTTTTTTCGTTTTCTAGAACCGTTACGTCTTCTAAGTGCTGATGGAATACGGGCGCTTCCTGTAGGCCTCGCTCGGAGCTTACAGTTAGTATGTCAGATATTTCGCTGTAGTCCGACCGACCGACTATGTTCAGCGCAGCGACACGGAATTGGTACCGATGCGGGGGTCCGAGCCCGGTGAGCACCAGTTCGGGGCGGGCTACCACCGGAGGCGCGGTGCGGATCCAGTCAGGCGCACCCAGCCTGTTGCATTCCACCTGGTAGCCCTGCAGTGGCGCGCCGCCGTCGTGCGCGGGCGCCGCCCATCGCAACGTGATCGCGTTCGGTTCGTCATCGGTTAGAATTGGCGTTATATGTGGTTTGCCGGGTGGTGCAGGTCGCACTGTAATATCAAAAAGGAAAAATTAAGTAACTATTACCATTCAAAATTTAACGTATAGAGGTCAAACGCCCCGGTTAATCAGTCATCGTACCACGGGTTCGCCGCGATTTGGCATTTTACACCATACAAAATTAGACGCATGATAGTCGTTACATGAACGCGGGACGTCTCGCTATTTGTTTTGTTGTGCCACGCTTTAGGAATCTCAGCGAGCGATGTTTTTAAAAATAGCTGTAGGAGGTATAGCTGTGTTCGGCTGGTGGCAGGCCGGTATCGGCCGTGTTGGTGTGTCCAGTGGTTGTGGCTCGTATTTACCTGCGGACTTCCAATGCACGTTCTTCCTAGGTCTGTGGGAGGCGTGTGAGGCGGAGTGTTGGTTGCCCATGGCGGCGGCGGCGCGCGCCGACACACTGAGCCAGCGCCGCTCGCCCCCCGCCCCGCCCCGCGCCCCACTACACCCCACACGCGCCTCACTGCGCTGGGAATAACTCTGCGCAGCCGCCCGCCCGGATGTTATCCCGAACTCAAACCATATGGACAACTTGTCTTTATTGATCAGCGGGGTTACAACCTTTACTAAAAAAAACAATATTATTCCACGGATTTTGAATCAGCAAACAATATGACTATGATACAAAATGTAAATTTATATAAATACACCATAATAGTTGTATCACTATCTCTTGTTAAAAGTCTTATAAAGCAAAACGATACTTATTACTTAATGATAATGATAACAACATTTGTAATTTAATATTCTATTAAAAAAATCGAAGTAACATCCTACTTGGTTGGTCAAAAAAAGAAAAAACATTTTAGTAGATTATTCAGTAGAAGTGACATCTATGGTATGTGCTTTACAATAAGATTGAAACTAGGACTGCTTTGACAAAAGACTTAAATAAATGGTTAACACTTCTCAAATACAGATGGCTCTGTAACAAAATAAAAAATTAAAGTTTGCCTCGCGTAAATTCTTAAGAATGTACTTAAATTATTATTTATTAAAAATTAGTTTACAGTAGAATGAATTTAAAATAAAAATCCAAATTGATTTTAATAAATAATTGTATTTTTATCTCTTTCAACCTCCATTAAATAATTAATAAAACAATTAAGTATACCATGAAGAGCAACGTCAACTTATACTACTTTTCTATGTAAAAAATGAAATGAATTAATTACATGGCAGTTACTATGTTTTTAGCACTAGTATATTGAGGATAGCAAAATGTTCTCTTAGCGTATTGCTGCTCCAAATATTCAGGCGCTTGCTAATACTACGATCTTGGATTATGTATAATAGTTTTTTACTTTTAAAAATACTTCATTTCAAACATTGCGTAATAATAGAATAAATAACTTTGTAATAAAAACTGTTCAATAAACCATAATAACTTATATTTTGCGCATAATAAAATTTCAATTTACTTTTGCAAAACACAAATAAGTCATTGGTACAAAGTTGTACTTCATTTTCGATAAAATTAACTGAAGCATTAGTGCACTTTGAATATCTATATCCAACTGAATTTATTACATGATACAAGAACTTGTTTTGAATGATTTACAAGCTTCAATGTATTTATAGTATAATTGGCATCATAAATAATTGCATTTAATTTGAAATTTCAACGATATTAAATCGTGTTCCATCTGATAACAAGCGTTTTAATATTATTTTTCAATATTTCGGTATAGAATTGAGAAAACAAAATTATTCTTAAATAAATATTACTTTAGGAGAGACGAATAACAGATTGCGAAGCTACAAGGCAACAGCCGGCGTTTCTCATTCAGAAATGAATGTAATGGAAAGTTAAAAATACTTTCTCGAATCTACTTTTTGTTTAATAACCTTCCTGAGTGACCAATAAAGTTAGTGGAGACAATTCCATTTAGTTTACGTGAAGTATTTGCTGACTGATATATTAATTTATGTACAGCTTTTGCCCGCGACTTCGTTCGCGCGGAGAAAAAATACTAGTAGAAAATAGAGCTATCTTACTGTTACTCAGTGGTAATGGACTTTATTTAGGCTGCATCTTAATCTAAAAAAAAATATTTCAAATTTTTAAATTGAAACTATGTATGTAACATTTTCCAATTTTAGAATAAAATCGCATATTTGGAAAACCATAATATAGCAATATTAAAAAGTTATGTTGAATGAGATTCGAATTGGTTTTTTTCACCAATTTAGAACATTATTTCTCACGTCCAGTTTATGTTTTGTGGCAATTAAATATAACCTATCACACCGGGGCAAAAAGAATAGAAACCTTACTTGTCAAAATGGGTTCAGTCGTTTAGAATTTAAGCTATCACACATGTATGAAAAACATTACCCTTTTGTCAGACAGAAAAAAACCGCGTTAGTTAATTTTATTTAAATTCATTTTTAAGTGATAAATAAATAAATTCATGCAAATGGCAGACACTTTCGAAGAATTAACTATACGCATAGTTGACCATGCAACGGTAAATGTAAGGCAAAATAGATATATTTTTAGTAAAAGAAAGTTAATAGTAATTATTGCGTGAAATATAATACACTCTCCTTACCGTAGCCTTAAATTTAGTTACTAATTTATACTAAATTCGAATCTAAAACCATAGACAAACAACAAGATTCATTGTAAAACACTTCTCTACTCTACTACTCTTACTTATATTATAAATGCGAATGTTTGGATGGATGGATGTTTGTTTGAAGGCATCTGCAGAACTGCTGAACGGATCTCGATGAAATTTTACATAATTGTAGAATAGCCTAATTAAGTTTTTTTTTAATTCTGCGCGGATAGAGTTTCGGGTTACAGCTGGTAACTTAATATTAACATTGTGTTGTTTTTCTGAGTATAAATTCTTGACTTACTAAATTTGGAATCTGAGTAATAACTACGTTTATTACTACAGTATGTTTTTTTTTTAAAGAAAATGAAGAAAACATGTTGTTGTGATAAATATACTCATTTAAATCTGGACCGTATAACTGTTGACCTTATTCGCTATTTTGTATCTACATGAGTAGACAAAATAAAAACAAAATTTCAAAACAGCTGTGGACAAGGTGATGACGGAAAGATATGTACTTCCTTGTTTTTGCCTGCCGAGTCCGATTAAATTAATCATCATCAGGGGTGGCTAGCCCATAGTCAATCACGTTGGCCCAGTACAACCTGTACTGGGTTGATTTCACATATATCTTTGAATTTCTTCGCAGATATGTGCAGGTTGCATCACGATGTTTTCCTTCACCGTAAGAACGTCAGAAAAATATACGTATATAAATCGAAGTAGATAACACAATAGTACATGGCGGGAATCGAACCCAAGACCTGCAGATTACAAGTCAAGTGCTTAACCCCTGAGCCATTAATGCTCTTGCGATAAACAAAGTGCAGGGGAATGACGCAGTTATAGTTAGTAAAATGTGTTGGAGAAAATCCTACTACTACTAGAGAAGAGGTCCAAAGTCCAAGACACACTCCAGGTCAGAAATGACATTTATGTCGGAAGCCAAAGTACACTAGGTCGTCGCATCACCTGTAGTAATTTAGATAATTTAGCTTTGTTCTCATGTAAACTATGTATTGAAAGGTGCACTTTATAAATTGACTTTAAAAGTACGTTAAAATGTTTGTCTTGTTACTGCCTTCAGTGGTTCAATATTTGTATTTTTCGATTTTGTATTAATAGTAAGCCAATTTTTTTCCTACGGAAATGTAAATAGGGATTACATATACATCGTGTCCTGATTTTTTTTAAGTATTATTCCCCGTGTAGTTTTCGATCTGGCTATACACTAATACAGTTTTACCGTTGAATTTTGGGACACGCTGTATACTTAATTTAATTTTCTCTACTGATTTTTCTTTAATTATTATAATATATAAGTTGGATATAAAAACATTGTTTTAATAGCGTCATAAAACAGAACTATCGTTAGCAGAAAAACGTAGATATTTATGCGACTAGAAACAGATGGTCAGTTAAAGTCATGATTATTTTCGCGCTAGCGTTTCGCGAAATGTTAAATTACTGGAGTTTTGTTTAAAAAAATAACAAATTAAAATAGCAGTGAAGAAATATCGTTTTAATTCGAATATTCTAGATTCGTTAGTGAGAATGTTAGTAACGATGAAACTTCAACCACTGAGCTTTGACATCTATCATTGTCGCCCTAGTTAGAAGGCTGAAGAACTGGCGACATATTTTTGTTCCCTGTACTCCATAACAGTAACAAATCGTAGTCTCTAGCAATTCTTATTCTTAAGAATTGTTTTACTTGGTTAAGTAAAGTACAGATTGCAATTTTTTCTTATAAAATCTTTTTAAAATTGCTCAATCTGCTGCAGTGTTTGCACAATTGAATAACATTCGTACATAATTACCATGAAAAATGGTTTAGTATAAAATTTTCTATAATAAATGGGTAACTTTGAAATATTCCAGCGTGAAATGAAGCTCGGCTCACATCATGTGCGTGGAATGTTTAAAAATGTATCTTGTATATAGGGATGTGTTACTTTCACACGAGGGAAAAATAGTGAGGCAAAATTGTAGACAGAGCTGTACATTCTTTGAAGCAATCCGTCACAACTCACGACATAAACACAAAGAGATAGGCGAACACTTCGGGCTATGTGGCGCGGTTGTCACACCTCTTACAAATTTCTATCTTCGCGTACATGTATGTTGATTTTAGATGAGGGTATTAAATCTGTTACCTTCGTGTGAAAGCATTAGCGCGGATCCGACCTACATCTCTTTGGATGTGAGCCAACGGCAGCGGCAACGCAAATACACGCGGGGCACCGCTCCAAGGTGACATTGCGCTGCCCACTTGCATTGCATCCTCTTTTGTTATGACCACCACATCCTTTAACAATTTCACACTATGACAACATCAAGTTTTTTAATAAACCCTCAGCCCCTAAAAAAAATCTCGCCTGAATTAACTCCTACGACACTCGGGTGAGCATTGAATCGTAATATCTTTGATTTATTCTTATTGCTTCTGAATATGACATGACTCAGATGTTTAAGAATTTTTTTATGGAAAAAAATGTGTCACCTACATACTTTCCCGAACTGAAGGGATAAATGATAAAATCGAACTTCAATAATAATGTACGATAAATATTTAATTTCTTATAAAATAACTGCTGAGTTTGTACATCATAAAGTAGGGAATGTAAGGTACTCTAAAACATATTGTTACCTTAGTTTTGTCAAATATAATGACGATATGTTTTATACAAAGATATTGGTCTCAGAAACCAACGATAATAGACAAATTACATATCCACTTCTTAATTATTTTTTCAGAGACATATGAGTTTTCCTACATGTATCTCGACAATGGAAAGTGATAGTAAGAAGTATGCTTCACATCTGATGTCGAGCTGTTTTGCTCTACATATAGAA